CAAAGCCGAGGAGGATGCGCAAACCAAGGTGAGCAGCAAACTCGGTTTAGAGCCTGGCTTGTCCCAGAGGGAGGAGGTCTGAAGCCCCGAGGCGGGAAGGCCCTGTTGTTGGCTCCGGGCTCGGGACCTTGGTCCTGGGATTTCTAGACGCTGCATCCCGGAGGGGCGTTCCCTGGTGCAGTGGCACCTCTCACCCAGGGTCTTTTTTTTCCAGTCGTTTGTGCTGTTTTTCTCCCTCAGGTTTGGGAGTCCTCCTCAGCGAGACCCAAACTGGTCCAACGAGAGGCCGAGTAAGCCCCCAAGGCACCAAGGTGCAGACAGCACTTCGGCTCCCCCGCGAACCTTCACCAGCAGGAGCTCCGCAGGTACGGGGAGGATGCCCCCGCCGAGGAACTACCCGAGGATGGGGGGCTACAAGGAGACCCGTCCAAGCTACCGAGCTTCGGAAGCAGGCGTCCAGCATCTGTCTCGAAACAGCGAGCAAGAGAAACAGGAGAGCAACCATCGAGCGAAGCGTGCGGAGCAGACGCCACCGAGAGACAACTCGCCCGAGATGGAAGCGGCGCACGGCCACGGCAGCCCGGTGAAGGAGGAGGTTGCTCTGGAGAACCAAGCCACGGCCGCTGATGCTGCGCAGCCACCGCCAGACAGACCAATTGAAAAGAAGTCTTATTCCCGGGCCAGAAGGACCAGAATCAAAGCTGGGGATGCGGGGAAGCTGGCAGACGAAGGGCCCGCTTCGGAAGGTCCCCCCCGCCAGCCAAGAGCAGCAACTGGGAGTCGCCAGTCGGATCCAGCTTGGATGGACTCGAGCAGGAGATGACCCAAATGAATCTCGCCGAGCAGAACTGGACCCCGGGGCAGTCGCAGTTCATACCGCCCCGGGAGCTGAGGGGTAAGTCGGGGCAGCCTCGTGCTGTGCCGCTGCAGCCCCTGAGGGGTAAGTCGGGGCAGCCTCGTGCTGTGCCGCTGCAGCCCCAGCCAGAGCCGGTCCTGCGTTCGTTCAGCTGGAGCCGAATTAATTGTCTCTGCCTCAGTCCAGTCCCAGGGTGGGTACGCCATGGCGGTGCACGCTGCTGAGAAGGTGCAGTGGGGATGGTTGGAGGGGACAAAAATGAGAGAAAAAGGGGAAGTGAAACATTCCGGTGCAGGTGAATTGAGTTAGGGCTGGAGAGGACACAACACTGGATCCTTTCCCTCTCTGTGCCCTGTGTTGTGTTGGGAGCGGGGAAGGTTCAGCGCAGGTGAAGGCTGCGTGTGGAACAGGCAGCGGGGACTTTGCGCGCTGTGAATCGCGGTGAGGGCAGCTGCCGCAGCGGAGCCAGAGGTCGGCAGATAAGGAGCGCTGCGCTCGGCTGGTGAGGATAAGGAGTCATCGGGCTCCTCTCGTGTCCTGCTCAGGGGCGGGAGGGAGCTTTATTTCCTAGCACTGCGATTTGGTTGCCGCTAGCTAAGCCTGACCGGGGTCGGCAGATTCGTTCACGCCCGGTGGGAGGAAGCTGCTCTCTTGGCAGCAGCAGGCAGGCCGGCGGGGGGGGGGACGCGTGGCGGAGGTACCCCCTGCGAGCCGAGGGCTGAGTTCTAGATGAGCATCCATGCGAGAGGTCATTCAGGTATAATTATCTTTTTGCAGAATTAGAGTCTTTCCTGGGGAGCGTTAGAGTCCTTCCCAAGGGAAAGAAAACTGGAGCAAGGAGAAGAGAGCGACCTGCTGCTTTCATAAGCAGCGCTTGAGGTTTAGGTCGTGAAACCGTAAGTCGTCTTGTACCGGTGCGACTGGTGAAGTCTGCGTGCGAGGAGAGCCTGGTCTGGGCTGCGGGGCGAGCGGGCAGGCTTGGAATGTGCCAGTGGAAGGAGAGTTCAGAAGCGCTGTGGTTTGCAGCTGAGACTGCGTACGCTTCTGATGCTTAAAAACAAAGCGTCTTAACACATTTACCGTGAGACAGCGCCAGGCCGCAGGTAGGGGACCGCTTTCTGTCTCTGAGAGGGACGCGTTACGCTCCTGTCCCCTGCTCTCTTCCTAGCAGAGAAGGTAGGAGCCCGTCTGGGAGGCACTCGGCTGGGTGAGCCAGCCCAGGCCGCTCTGTACGCGCAGCGCGCACGCCGGTGCATGCGTGTGCCGTGTCGGTGATCCCTGGGCACTGTCAGCGCTGGTTTTGTCCCCTTTCCCTCCCCTGCAGTCGGCTGTGACCAGTTTGGCACTCTGGTTTTGAGTGTGCGCCCTGCCTTTGTTGTCTGAATTCCAAGGAGCCCGTGGCACGAGTGGCTACGCGCTGCAGAGCTTAAACTGCGGCTTACCCGGTCCCACGAGAACCCGTGGTTCTGCTCTGCGAGGTCGCTGTCTCCGCAGGAGCAGGGCTGAGATCGGCGCCTGGAGTTCAGGCTGAGGGTTTCAGTTTTTTTTTCATCAAGATTTAAAAGGTGTTGAGTAGCGTGGGTGACTGTACAGTGGCACAACAGCTTCTAATTACTGAAATATTTAAAATTGTAACCTAAGAGGAGAAGTTGCTAGAAAGGGTTTCTTGTCCTGAGAGCAAGAGCTGCGCCTGTCTGTAGTACAGCGACGT